CCATGTTGCATCTCGTTGCAAGAAGAAGAATGCTTGTGTTTATTGCAAACAATCTGGACATATTATTATAGATTGTCTTGAGCTGAAGCAAAAGGGGAGTAATTCCAAGCAGAAATCTAATCATCGAGTATATCAAGCAACTAGTTCTCCATGCCCTGAATCAATTCCTACACTGTCATCTGCATCATCTGCTACAAATAATCCTAGTTTTGTGGAAGGCAAAGATTCACCTATCTCAGATGAAGTTCGAAAATTGGTATAGAATTCAGTATCCTCAACTATTACTTCTGCTTTTTTTGTTATTGGTCTATCTGGTAAGAATTCAGCATTTACTTCTTTTGTAAATCCTCTTTGGTTTATTGACTTTGGTGCTTCAAATCATATGACTAGAACTCATGCTACCTCTAGTTTAGCCAAACCTTTCCAAGGGAATAATAAAATTGAAACCGCAAATGGTGACAAACTTGATATAGTTGGTACAGATAATCTTACATTATCTGTGACATCTCAATCCTATTTTCATTTGCCAAATGTCTTTCTAGTACCCAAATTAACTACCAAAATAATTTCTGTTGGACAACTTGTTGATGATTTTGATCATGTTGTTTCTTTTTCTCGTTCTGGTTGTGTTATACAAGACCGCCGCACTGGGATAGTGAAAGGGAAGGGGCGTAGGATTAGTCGCTTGTTTGCCTTGGAATTTGAAAAAGGACATAGTGACGCTGGTTTATTTGTTTCTTCTAATAAAGATGTCTCTAGTTCTCATAATCTTTGGCACTTATGGCATCATAGACTCGGTCATCTCAATGTTAAGAGATTAGATACATTATTTATTTCTGGTCTTTTGAATAATAAAACTTTGCCATTGGATTCCATTGATAAATCTTGTATTAGTTGTTCTTTGAGTAAAAGTGCAAACTTACCCTTTCCAACACATTCTTCAACTCCAACTAAGCCTTTTGATTTGATACATAGTGATGTTTGGGGTCCTTTTCCTGTTTCATCTAGATTGGGATATAAGTATTTTGTTTTATTTATTGATGATTGCACAAGATTCACATGGATATATTTTATGCGACACAAATTTGAAGTGTTCTCTCATTTTAAGACCTTTTTGTCCATGACTAGAACACAATTTGATACTAATATAAAAATTTTTCATTCTAATTCTGGGGGTGAATATTTACTAAAAGAATTTCAAAAATTTTTGAAGGTTGAGGGTATTCAATCTCAGAGGTCATGTCCTGCTACCCATAGCAAAATGATATTGCTGAAAGGAAAAATCGTCATATTTTAGAGGTAGTTAGAACTTTGTTATCTAATTCTCATGCTCCTCCTAATTTTTGGGTTGAGGTTACTTCTACAGCAATCTATCTCATTAATCGTATTCCTTCTGAAGTATTGCATAACACCTCTCCATATTACTCCTTACATAAATGCCATCCTGATTATTCTCGTTTACATGTTTTTGGTTGTGTGTGCTTTGTTCATTTACCACCTCATGAAAGGACAAAATTATCAAACCAAGCTGCCATGTGTGTTTTTGTTGGATATGGAATTGATCAAAAGGGTTTCTTGTGTTATGATCCAAAAATTGGTAGAATTCGTATTTCTAGACATGTGGTTTTCTTGGAAAATTTATTTTATTTTGATGCAATTGCAAAACCCAATAATTTCTCACCTTCTGTGTTGCATGACTTTTCACTTGATCATAATGCTCCAGCAGAACAAGTTTCCATTGATCAATTCCACATAGCAGATGAACAACCTCAAACTTGTTCCTTTCACCAACCAAAAGATGGTACACCTGTGGATGCTCAATCAGTAAGTGATTCTAATCCTGCTTCTAATGCCTCTACTAATTCCATTGTTTCTTTACGTCGTTCTGCTCATACTATTCATCCACCTGATTGTCTTAACCTTTTTACCTCTGTCTCTTTGTTGACAACATTAGATTTTGTTGATATACCTCGATCTTACCAGGAGGCTGTTAGCATTCCTTGTTGGAAGGAAGCTATGGATTCTGAATTAAGTGCCTTATTGGAGAATGATACTTGGGATATGGTACCTTGTCCTTCTAATGTGTCTATTATTGGTAGCAAGTGGGTCTTTTCTATTAAGCTCAAAGCAGACGGTAGTATTGAGCAGTATAAAGCAAGACTTGTTGCCCAAGGTTATAAGCAAGAGTATGGAATTGATTATATAGAAACATTTGCACCAGTGGCTAAAATGACTACAGTGAGATTACTTATTGCTCTTTCGACAATGCATCAGTGGCCTATTTCTCAAATGGATGTGAAGAATGCTTTTCTGCATGGGAATTTGAAAGAAACTGTTTATATGAAGCCTCATCCAGGTTATTCACATTCCAAATCCATGGTTTGCAAATTAAAGAGATTATTATATGGTCTTAAGCAAGCTCCTCGAGCCTGGTTTGAACGCTTCCGTCAAGTTATTGTGGATGCTGGGTATGTTCAAAGTTCTCATGATTATTCCTTGTTCATGCATAACTCTCCGCAAGGTGTTACTCTACTTTTGATTTATGTCGACGATATGCTTATTATCGATAGTAATAAGGAAGGTATTGCTAAGTTGAAAGAGTTACTTTGTCATTCTTTTCAGATGAAAGATTTGGGGCCATTGACTTATTTTCTTGGTTTAGAAGTTCACTCATCTTCTCGAGGTTATGCGGTGAATCAACAGAAGTATGTTCTGGATTTGATCCAATTTGCGAATTTATCTGATGATAAATGTGTTGACACTCCAATGGAAGTAAATGTCAAGCTTAGGAAGGAAGATGGTGAAAAACTCTCTAATCCTAGCTTTTATCGTCAACTTGTGGGTCGCCTCCTTTATCTTACTATGACTAGACCTGATATTGCTTATGCTGTGCAAGTGGTTAGTCAATTTGTTGCAGATCCTCGATGATTACATCTAACGGCTGTTCTTCACATAATTCGATATCTTCGTGGCACTATTTCGAGGGGACTTTTCTTCTCCTCTCATCCTTGTATGCAATTGCAAGCTTATGCAGATGCTGATTGGGCAGGTTGTCTTGATACACGTCGCTCCACCACAGGTTGGTGTGTGTTTCTTGGTGATTCCCTTATTTCTTGGAAATGCAAGAAACAGAAAACAGTGTCCAAATCCACTACTGAAGCTGAATACCGAGCAATGTCTTCAGCATGTAGTGAATTGACTTGGCTTCGAGGATTTTTACAAACACTTACTTTTCCTACTCCTCCTTCACCTCTTTATGCTGATAATATGAGTGCTATTCATATTGCATCCAATCCTGTCTTTCACAAGTGTACCAAGCACATTGAAGTGGATTGCCACTTTATACGGAATATGTATCTTGCAGGTGCCATTACTCTTCCTTATATTGCTTCTAAGCATCAAATTGCAGATATTTTTACAAAGGCAATGACAACTGCACGGCACAAGTTTTTAGTGAGCAAATTGACACTGGTTTCCCAGCCTCAGTTTGAGGGGGAGTGTAGGAAATAGGCATATTTTGTAATTTTGTTTTATATTAAGGGTTTTTATGTAACTTTACATTTTATATAACCTAATATAAATATGCTGCTAAGGGTGAGCAGCTTTGTACGTTGTTTTGCACCCTCCACTTCCGCCTCACTTTACAAGAGTATGATGCATGCGGTGAAACAAGGATTTCATATAATTCCTAAGCGAATGTTCAGATTGCTTCATATATTAAAATTTTTAACTGTTCTAAATTCAACTCTTGGGACCAATAGAGAAATATTGGAAGAGGAAAAGGTTTTCATTTGTTGTATAGCCCAGTAAGAAAATCTCTAATCGACAGTTATAATTGTCTGAATGAATGATTGATGATCTCCACGGACATCAAACCCAATGGCCAGCAACAACGAGCGGAGTGCTCCGGTGATGGTGGTGGCGGTGCCGCTTCCAGCCCAAAGCCATCTGAATCAACTCCTAGACCTTTCAGCCTTCATATCCTCATCCTATAACCTTCCCGTTCACTACGTTTGCTCTTCCGCCCATGTCCGTTAAGTTAAGCTCCGCTACTTGAATCCGCTCCTCCTCACCAAAATCCAATTCCATGAACTCCAATTTCCTCCTTTTCCTTCCCCCTCCCCTACTCGCGGCAGATCTGCTGATTTTCTCATCCATCTCGAACCCTTGTTTTATGCCACACTGGAACTCCGCCAACCTTTGGGTACCCTCTTACAAACTCTTTGTTCTCAAGCCAAGAAGATTGTCATAATCCATGATGTTATGATGGCATTTGCAGTTCAAGATGCTGCTTCTTTTCCAAATGTACAACTCTATGCTTTTGACTCTTCATGCTCCTTCACTGCCTTCACTACAATGCGAGAACAGGCAGAGTCAACGTTCCCGATTCCTGAAGAGATTGAATTCCCAGATAACCTTCCTTCCGTGGAAGGTTGCTTCACAGATGAGGTGATGAAATTCGCAGTTCTTCAATTTGAAGCCTTGAAATTCCAATCTGGTTATATCCGGAACACTTGTAGAGTGATTGAAGGCGATTATATCGATCTTGTAGGTCAGATTCGAGGAAATAAAAAGCAGTGGGCAGTTGGGCCATTGAATGTATATCTGGGATGCCTTGGTAAGAAGAACAGCTCAAAAATTGGGAAGAACAAATGTGTGGAGTGGCTAGATAAACAACCACCACATTCAGTCCTATACATATCTTTCGGAACAACTTGTTCCATGACAGAGGAACAGGTTAAGGAACTTGCAATGGGTTTAGAAGAGAGCAAAATCAGATTCATTTGGGTACTGAAAGATGCAGATAGAGCTGATGTTTTTGCTGAAGAAAACGGAAGCAGCCCTGAGCTTCCGAAGGGGTTTGAAGAGAGAACGGAAGGAGTAGGGATGGTGGAGAGAGGGTGGGCGCCTCAGGCGGAAATTCTTCGGCACCCTTCTACTGGGGGTTTCATGAGTCACTGTGGGTGGGGTTCAGTTCTGGAGAGCATCAGCGTGGGAGTACCGATTGCGGCTTGGCCTATGCACTCCGACCAACCATGGAATGCTGCCCTGGTCACACGGGTGCTGAAGATTGGCGTGGTCGCAAGGGACTGGTCTCACAGAAAGGAACTTGTGATGGCCTCAATTAAAGAAACTGTGACGACTCTGATGGCATCGGAGGAAGGGCAAATGGTGAGAAAAAGGGCAAAGGAATTGGGAGGAGGTGTCCGTCGAGCCACAGCTGAAGGCGGTGTTTCACGAATGGAAATGGAAGCCTTTATCGATCATATAATTAACTAAATAGATTTATGTTGGCCAAAAATTAATTAAGCGGTACACCGTGGTAATTTTACTAATATAAATAAGAGGTTTGGATTTATTCCAGATATATATATGATGGTGAAAAATACAGAAATAAAAAAAAGTTGTCTTTTATTATACAATATAAAAAGAAAAATCTTTATCAATTTTCAAGGTTGGATTCTTTTGAGAATTGTTAGTCGGAGGGTGGTTTCAGCTATAGCGTAGCTAAGCTATGGTGTTGTTCCATTTTAATCCGTCGCTGTCTGACCTTAGAGTTACTATGGAGACAATGGGTTAAAGACATTCAATGGGACGAATGGCCTACATTGAGTTGTAGCCACAAGGAGAGTTCAGAGTTTGAGTTGGAGTGGAATGCTGCTTTTGCCACATCTGCTGGTGTATCATAGGGCATAATAAAGCTGTCTTCATGGAAACACCACTTTGTTTCTAAAAGCAGATTTACTGCTGTTTATTAAAAATATATATATATATTTCAATGAAGGATGGGTCGGCAAACAGTTCGCTTGCAGGACGAGTGTTGGGAGGATTTGGGACCCATCTTGAACCTTGAGTTCGTGGGTCTCCATATATATATATATATATATATATATATCCCACTTTGTCTCAAATCATCTTTTTGATGTGGGATTCCATGACAACTCTCAAGTGAACCACTTTTCTTAACAATCTTGCCCGTTCACTTATAAATTGTGATAAGCTTCCCCGTCAGAGTAACACCATACCAAGGGCCGTACACCTAGGCAAGAGGAAGAACCACCGTGCACCTACAAAGGAACCAGCATACTTAATCATGGGCCTTCCACGCCTTTCGGCTGCACTAGCCCAAAGTGAGTCCGTACTCTCACAATATCGAGCATAATTAGGACTGATTCACCTTCAATTCTAATATTACTGTTGGAAGATTGGACTCACAAAAGCTCAAATAAGTCTAATACATATAAGTTTGAGACCTCACTTTAAATTTAAAAGACTAATCTATTAGATTCATAAGTCTCTACATAGGTATTCCACTTATTCTTATAACATTTTTTTGATACGGCATTCCATCATAACTCTTAAATGAACCATGTTTCTCAACAAAAATTTTGTTGGGACACTATTGGACGGTGGCTGTTTGGGTTTACTCAACAACTGGGAGAAGAACATGCATGCTATACGTGCTGAATTGTTTGCTATATTGAAAGGGATGGAGTTAGCATGGAACAATGACTATAGGACAGTAAGCGTGGAGATAGATTCTTTGTTGTCTACTAGAATTCTCCAGGGATCCACCGGTAACAATGTTGCACTCACCCATTTAGTGGAAGAGATATATAACTTCATCCAACGAGACTGGACGTGTGTGATACAACATACATATAGAGAATGTAACAAACTGTGCAAACAATTCTATTTTCTGCAAGGAGGTTCACACTTTTTTTAGAAATCACCAGATGTTGTTTATTGACTCTTAGAAATGGACAAGTTTGGGCATTTGTAGGCCTCGTTGCCATAAAATAATTTAGTACTAACCACTGCCTATAAAAAAAAAAGAAGAAAAAATACAAGCAAGACGAAAAAGGCTACTTAACACAAATAATAATTATAATAATGTACATGGAAAAGAATATCACGAGCAATGTATAGAGACAAAGTCATGGGTCTTGCAAAAATAAAAAGTAAAAGACCCAATAAAGCTACCCTGCGACAATGGAAGGCCTAAGAAACCAACTACGGCCAAGCAGACAGACACTTTGCCGCCGAGTCAGACACCACACTGTGAACATAATATAATTTAGACAGGCCTTATTCAACCCTCAAAATCTTAGGAGGGCAATAATGAAATTAAGTAAAGCAACAGCAACATCTTAAAAAAAAGAAAAAAAAAAAGAAAAAAAAAAGAACAAAGTTAAAAAAATTAAACTGCAAGGAAAAATATTTGATAGTACAATACTTCATATAAATACTCCAAGATAAATGGATAATTTTTGTGATAGGATAATTAATTAAAATAAATAAATAATAATAAAATTAAATTAAAAAATATTTATTTATCTTAAAAAATAAAAAAATTAAAATAAACTCAAAATAAAAAAAAA